TCTGAGAGATTGACGATTTAATTACCTGGCTATTACATATGATAGTCACATAAACAGGGATTTTTTTATAGTTAAATAAAGTAGTATTTTATCTCTGCAGAGAGGCGTACAAGTGCCCCCATGAGAATTGCGGCACACCAATGGTGGACCACATCAGGCGTTTTGTCCACGGCCAGGGCTGTATCCAGATCACCATGAGGAAGCTGGAACACAAACTGCCAGGGTTCACTGACACCATTCTCACATGGAGCTATTGTAATAAGTGCAAGCAGGTAGGTGGCACAGTGGCTACTCGTAGATTTTTAATATTTTGATTCTTTTTTTTTTTTGCACTGTGGATAAGATGTATAGACTGAAGTGAAGCTGGTTACTAAAGGAATTTGTATTTTCAAATTTGTATCAGTTTGAAATGATCAGTCATATTTTACCTTACGCAGTGTCATGGAAGTGAAATATTGTTTTGTCCATTGGACTCAAAATCTGATGAAATGAAATTTAAATTGATATGAATTTTATCAATGTGATTTCAGGCCAGTGCAGTGGTTCCTATAGCTTTAGAGACTTGGTCATTGTCGTTTGCTAAATACCTAGAGCTGCGTTTCCATGGCAACGTGTACACTCGACGTGATGCCCAGAAGTCATGTACACACTCTCTCCACAGTGATCACTATCAGTACTTTGGTTTCAAACAGACCGTGGCATCTTTCAAGTAAGATAGCTTTACGTCATAGGAAAATGTTTTCTTTGATGTACAGTTCACAGTTGAATTGAACTTAACTAATACTTTTATGAAAGACTGTCAGATTGAGTTTGACATTCAACATTTTTGTTGCATTTTTCTCATATGATTTGGTTTGAAAGTGGATAATTAGTCTACAATTGTTGCACACTTTTCATTGTTATTTTGCTTTTATCTTTGTAAAGGAGCCTTATAAGCAATACTTTTTATTTCCCATTTGCTACTTCAAACAACTTTTTCTCTTGCCAGTTTTATTTTTTGTATGTTGATTTAAGTTCAGAATTATACCTTATGGTGGTATGAATTTTTTTTGATAATTTTGTGCAACATGGCTTTGTAATACATTGGAAGAGGCTATAAGAATTTATTTATTTTATTATTATTTTTTCGGATTGGGGGTCTGTATACTGTTTTGATGCCTGTATAGATATGTTTCTGTCTTCTTTAATGTCATTGAATATGTTCCTCAGAGTTGAGAATTCTTTGATATATTTATGTCTTTATTTTTTTCTGGAAATTCTCAGATACAGCACTGTCAAGAACAAAGACATTGCGCTGCCACCTCTGAGGATCTGCTACGTGAAGGACTGTGGGTTTTGGGAAGAACAAACATTAAAATGGATGCCTGCAGTCAACTGGCACTACAAGACAAAGGAGGGACTCAAGAAACTTTATCAAGAGTAAGGAAATTTAGTGGTTGTTGTACTCAAACTTTGTTGAAATTTTAAGTTTATTCATAAGTATTGCTTCTTTTGTGGTAAGGTTCAACTGGGTACAATTGACATTTTTCATTAGAAAGAGAAAATAACCTGTTTATAAACAAATTTGTAGAATGAACTAAGATGTAATAAATTTTTCCATTGATGTAAGTGGATTACAAGTATACAGGATTAGTGTCTTGTTATCAAGAAGGAAAAAAAGATTTTGTATTTTTGAATTCAAATATGTTTCAGTGGTCTTCAGGTGTTTGATTCTATAGTGCAATTACTGCATAAACTCCGCTTGGAAACTCAGTCAGATAAGCAAGCAGAGGTTGTTGAAAAGCATCTGGGACAACAACAGGTAGTGTACATTATAAAACTATTTTCATTAAGTAAAAGGATAACAATACCATCATGCACCTAAATATCAAAAATATATTCTCATTCAAACACTCTGTACCATGTAAAGTTGATGTTGAAATAAGAATTTTGATTATTTTGTTTTATTATTTTTTAAGAGGTGAAAATTAATATAATATTAATCTTTTTATAACCTGCAGATTTATAGCATTACTTCACTTTACATAATTCTTTCAGAAAGACAAAGCTGACTTTCGAGAGAAAATGGAAAAGCTCTTCAAGCATTTTCCCGTGAACCAAGATATGGTTTCAGCAGACAGCGTGATATCTGATGCCGCCATCTTGGAAGTGACGGATGGTATGGTCAGGATGAAGCAACTGGTGGCAGAGAATGTTTCAGATTGGAATACAAAGTAATGGCCTTTTATTATTTGACATTGTTGTGTTTTCAATTTTTTTATTTAAAAATTTTTTTAAAATAATTTTTAATGCATTTTCATGGTATCTCTTATTTCTCTCTTGATTTTTTGTGCTTTCCTCCAAGTTGTAAATTTTATAATTAGACGCCCCACTGTGGTAGATGTACATGATAATTTGTATTTTTATTTTTTTTGCAGGATCTTAGAATTTCAACATCAACAAAAGAAAATGGAAAAAGAGAAGAACAAAAAGGATTCGATGCAGAAAAGTGGGAAAGAGTCCAACTCTGGCACCCCCAAGACTGGGAACAGCTCCCCCAGTAATGTGAGTGCTTTTGAAGACTAATATTAAAATTTTGTTTGTTTATTTGTTTGGGATGATGTTTTAAAATTGATTTAAGTAAGGCTAATCGACCCTTAAATTGGATTTTGAGTCAAACTGATTTCATTTTTTCATGTGACAAAATTTAAAATATTTTTGATTCTTGTCCGATGTATAAAGTTTTTACTTTTTTTTTTAAATTGTTAAATAATGATTAAATGTGTGTAATATATATATATTATTCAGGCATCAGGGGTTGAAAAGGTATCTTTGCCTACTGCTGAAAAAACTACAGTAGAGGAAGGTAAAAGAAAAAGAAAAAAAAATTTACTTAAATTACATAATCATTTCCAAATGAAACTTTTAGCTCGTGATTTAATTGATGTCATCTTATATTAAGAGTTTGAGATTTACTAAGGAACTGAAAGTGTACCTCTTAGCTTTTTATTAGCTACAAATTTTTCATCATTTAATGAATACTTTAACACTTGGCATGACTTATTTAAGATAAACAATAACCCATTTTTATATATTGATAATATACTATTTGTGAACATAAACATGTGTATCACCTCATCCATACCTAAACTCTTTCTACTTCCCTAGCATGCTTATTTCTTATTTTATACCAAAAACAGTAGCTTTTCTCTCTCACCACTGAAGTATATCTCTTGCATGTTATAATGTATATGTATCCTGCTGATGAGGGAATTCCTAGTGTCTTGTTTTCAAATGCGGTGGGATGGAGTATATGTTTGTTTGTTCTCCCATGTTTAAAGCCAGTGATTTTTGTATGTGCTTAAAGCAGAATGATATCTTCCACTTCACCAGGCTCTTATGATCCCTTGGCTGCATGGTGCTGTAATAATGTGTCCAAAGAGATGGAAGAAGCTATGAAAGATATCAGTAAGACTCCTGAGAGTAAGTGTGTGCTTTCTTGTGAAGGGCAGTTTTTGTAATTCATTTGTTTGCTTGTTTGTTTTGGTATTTGTTTGTTTTTGTATATGTTTTTGAAACCCATGATGATGTGTCTCATGAAGGTATAGTTGTTATTGGTGAGTATTTTGTCACTGCTTAACCAGAGTCCTCCAAAAGCAACCCTTAAATCTAACCTGATTTTAATTATTTGTAATAATTTATCCCGTCACTGACAAACTAAATCTTAGCTATGACTCCATTACAGGAACATGTAAACTGTACTCTTCTATTTACCATATTTTATTCTTTGTCATATTGGGATATATTTTCAATTATTGGCAATCTGGGTATTGAAAAAAAATTGTAAACTGAAGATGAGTTGTCTGCATTATATTCTTTATATTGAGTATGGAAGGGTACACTTTATAATATAGTGTAAAGATAGGATTGCTATAACATCATATTTACTAACAGCCACACGAATGGCTTTCCCCCTTTTTTTTACTGAGCAGGTCACCTGCTTGACACTGTCACTCTAAGCTTATAGTTATTTTGCCAATTTTATTTTTGATTACCTAATCTCTGTTTTTGCACTTGTTTCTATCATCTTTTTACTTGAAATACTAAACTTCTGTGGATAACTGCATTGTATTACTTATATGAACTTTTATTGCATGATTTTATGAATTCATTTAACATTTATTTACACTGTTTTCCATGCAACTTAACTCCAACTCAATATTTTAGTTTACTTTGGTCCAGGATAAATCAGAAGAGATCCCCTTCAATGAGAAAATTAGGAATGTTTTATTAATTAATTAATTAATTAATTAATTAATTAATTAATTTTTATAAGAAGTGGTAATTGACTGAAATTTCAGACTGATAGTAAGATTGGACTGCAACATATAATCCTGGATTGAAGTAAACTAAACTTTTTTGGCCTCAACTTTCAACTTCAGATCATTCTTTTGTGACATGGGCCTTGGTATCATATTATATTAAGCTCACATAAATCACCTGTAACTTTCAGTAACTTCAGGTTTGGAACTAACCACCTCTGCAGATAGTTATGTCTTTAGTGACAGCCCTGGGATAAATGCTGTGCTCCTTAGCCAGGCTCTGGATGGGGGCAGTGCCCCTGCTCAGCCACCTGTGAACCCCATAGACAGTGGGTTTGTCGTCTGTCACTTTAGTAGTATTAATGGTAGGTGCTGTGTGGAGTAGACGGTTTTGATGGGTGGTGAGCAGATAAAGAGTCTGTTAAATGCTTGCATTGTGTAAGTCACATATATAATTCACTTTCCATGACCATTTATTCTGTATAAATTCTGATATAATTTGATCTTCAAAATATTTTCATAGATCAATGTACAACTGTTGTGAATCAGAAAAAAAAACAAGGCAGCAAAGCTCACAAATGTTTGGACATTATTTTCAAAAGCAACCTGCTTCTTTACTAAACAAATTCACTCAGTAGATTTAAAGTAAAGCAAAACTATGGTTTGACAGTTATGGGGCAAAAGTCATGTGTCAGACAGCAATGGTGACAGCAACGGTGACAGCGACAACATAGAAAGACAGACCAATCAAAATATATGCAGACACTTAAAGTATCTGTATATAAAAATGATTATTTGCAAATTGTTTGAAGTTTAGCTTGCAGACACAGGTACACCCACTGCCCCCACTGTCTTAGGGTATTTGGCAATTGCATTATATTTAAAAATTAAAATTAAAAAATTTAAAATCCTCATATTCTACATTGTGTTAGGAATTTTACTCTTTTTGCATGGATATCTTGTCATTTGGTGCATATGATGTTTGATCCAATATTGCTTTTATTTTCCAATGTTATGTGAATAGTAAAATATATTTATTGTATTATATATGATATTTTGCATACTGAAATCTGAAAACAGTTTTTAGATGTTGTAACATTTTAAAGGTGACATCTTTTACCCCTAACAATGAATTCCTTCACTGGAAACTGTTATTTGGATGTTAAATTTTGCTGAGATCTATGGGCAAATGAATAGTCTTGTATATTTTGTAATTTATTTAAAAAAAAACAGAAGCATCACGTTGATGCAGTAGGCCTGTTTGAATATTTCATAATATCTTAACAGTATACTCATCTTAACAGTATACTTGTATCTCAACTTAAATGTATTTACGCACATTTATTTTAACACTAACCATAACTAGAGTTGAATTTGTCTTTGTCTTAAATTTTTCTTTTGAGATTGGAAATATTACTTTTTGCAGGAAAAAACCCCATAGAATAGTGTATTATAAAAAGCAATTTTGTCTTTGCCATTTGTTTTAAATTAGTTGAGAAGATGTATCTGTCCTATTGATATTTTGTATGCAAATGTAATGCACTAATGTAACTGATGCCTGTAAATTCATTTCTAGATATTTTATATACTTTGCAGTAAAAGTGTCCTTAATATATCATACAAGAATTTAGATAGGTAGACATTTTTAAAGCAAATTTTTGGCATTTCTTCTTTCTTATTTCTTTCAGCTCCTCGAGAAGTAATAGTCGGCAAACCATATGGTGAGGAGCGTGCCCCTGAAGCCACCATCTCCGCCGTCTCTGAACACAAGGGACACAGAAAGACAAAGTCTGCTGATGAGAGCAAGAATACGAGAGGTCAGAAATAATGATAACCAGATCCTCATTTATGATTTGAATAATCTCTTTTTTATTGCAGTCCCCTTTCTTTTCATTTGTATTTTTTATTTTTAATAACTTGACGAAGGAGGTACCTTCTTTGAATAGAGTTATTTAAGGCAACTCTGAGCGAATGTTGTTTATGTCTGTAGTAAATTTATTTCCTTAGTATGCTGTCATCTTTTATGTTGTTTATTTGCATACTCAAATGTAAGGTTCTTGTACAGCGTACGTGGATTGAACTAGCTTTGTTGGTCTTTGAAATGGACTATTGTTGTTTATGTTATTTTCCATTTATACGTAACTTTGTGAAATTTGTTAATATTTGTTTGCTGTGGATCTTTATGTCTGTTCTGCTATGGTTGATAACAGATCTTATCTAAAGTATTGCCATACTGCCATCACTTGAATTTTCATAGTGACAGTGTGGGTGCGTGTGTGTTTGTGTGGATGTATATGCATGCTTGCATTTTTTTTTTGGTTCGGATTTATAATTGTCATTTAATATTATCGGTACATCACATATGGAAGCAATTTTTCTCTTGTCTTCCAGCAGAGGGCGCAGAGAGAGGCAGCAAACAGGGAGGAGCCATGAAGAACATTATCACCAGTTTTCTGTCTAGTATTGGTCCAGTTCCCATACACAATCCATTGTAAGTAAACCTTGTGAGGAATTTCAGAACACTAAGTTTGTTACATTTTTTTTCAAGGAAAAGAGATCGGTGCATTTTGTGACTACTGTAAAATTTGTAAGATAACAGGGCTACAAAAGAGTTACATTGTCTTAAAGTTAGGAGACTTTACACCCTGGTCTATTATGTACTCTTTCTTTTTATTTTGAAGTCATATTGTTTATGCCCTTGACATGGTTTTTCTTTCAGGATCACATCTTTTAGGAAGTTAATTTCAAAATATACTTTAAAAAAATGATTTATAAATAAGGCCACACTTTTTTAATTTTATGGATGACATCCTGCGCGCGCACCGATTTTCGTCCGTTCTCCCAAAAAAAAAAAAAAAAATCCCCCCCCCCTCCCCCCAAGGAAGTCGGTTGTCGCAAACGTCTTTATTGAATTTGCCGGAAAATGCAATCGGCAATCCTCGGCTTATTCCGCAAGATCCATACTGTCATTGTCAACTGCGGAGACATCCGAGTAGTTCCGAGTGCGGAAAATGAGCTTTCTGCGCATGCGTATTATCACCACGTGGAAATATGGCAGCTTTGCCGTCAAATTCATCTCTAGCATTAATTTCAAAATGCACGACAATTAAAGTCATAAAGAGAACGGGGCCGTCGTTTTGGATTGGTTTGCCATTGATATTGTCATGGAGATATCACCCTTTTACAATTATACGAAAGGCTGGCCGCGGCCAGCGATCATCGCCCGGAAAATTTCAGTGACATTCTGTCCAAAGCAGCACATACCAGGTTTTTTTGTAGCGAAAAAAGGGTCGACAAGAGCGTCGTGGTATTTGGTGGACTGAAGGTCGGACAGGCCACCCGATAGTTGGCTGCTACGTGTGAGTCGAAGTAAACAAAATGGCATCGACCGAAATTACCTTTTTTAGATTTGGTAGTAGGAAGCATAGGCCTATCTTTGCTTCATTTTTTTAAACAATTCTGTGAAGTGTTTTTAATGCTTTAATTTTCTGACAGTACAAATAAAGACACGCTATTATATTTGTTTTATTGATTGCTGTACCAATAGAATGCATGAAATAACCTTAAATAGATTTGGTAATATTCAGCATATATATTCATGACTTTTTACCTTTCTACAAAGTAGGCCCTATTCACAATGCTTTAATATTTTGAGAACATGGATATAGACATGTTGTTAGTTTGATACGTACGTGTTTCTGTGGTAAATTAGTGTTTCCAGCTGTGTACTGAAAACATAAGTTTTCTTAAGCAGGTTTTTTTTTTTTGGACTGTTTTTTTTTTTTTTTTCGCCCGCTCGCACCGATTTTGGGGTCCCCAGAGGATGTCATCCATAAAAATAAAAAAGTGTGGCCTAAGCATCACTATATGTACATATACACTATATATTGACAGGATTTCATTATAGGCAAATGTACCACAAAAATGGTGATAATGTACAATATAAATGGAAACTTAAATTTGTAACAAGCAAATATAAGAATAAAACTAACACTACAGGGTCTTCATTAACTACTACTAGTATAAGGGCATCAGCTCTGTTCTTGAGACAAATTTCAACATTTTTTTTACTGTGGTCAACAATGATGCTTACATCTATATATAGGAAGCGCCAATTTCAGAGGGGATTCTTTTTCTGAAAAAAAAGGTAGACCTTTTCACCCCCTAAAAAAGTACAAAGACAGTTAAGTCTTTTCACCACATCACAGATCTCTCTATTTATATATGATAATTCCCTGTTCCAGCCCACCAGATGAGCACTACCTCCTGCCTCTGTCAGATGACATTCCAGTGATTGTGTTAGATAGGGAACCCAGCTCTATTATTGCTTATGCATTAAGGTAATGTACAGGTCAAATGAACATGGTGAGGGAAATTCAGCTGTTGTGAAAGTTGTGAAAAAAGGATCCAATGCTTATAATGTCAAAAGGTGATGACATTTTAAGCAAAAGATAAAAAAGAATAGAAAAAGGGAATCTGTTGGTGTAAAGAAAATTACTGAATTTTTTGGTTGCTTTCATTTGATATTTGGTTTAAAGAGAATGGTTTGCCATCATTAAACCCTGCTTTCTTATTTCAGCTCTATTGAGTACAAAGTGAAGTTGAATGAACTGAAGCAACTTGCTCTTTCCAAAGAAGCGTATGATATAAAGTAGGTGCTTAATGTATTATTCTGTGAATACAAACACAATGGGGATCATCTGAGAAAGCCCCAAGTCTCATGACAATGAATAAAAACTGGCAGTATTTATCCATGGAAGTGTGTTTAATTTTCTCTCTTAATTTATAAATAAGTTGTATTTAATTTATTGTAAATGAGGCTAAATCTTTGATGAGATCTACACATGTCACCTGCTAATTAGATTTTGTAATCATATTTTGTAGCCAGATCAAGAAGGGGGGTTTATCCAGAGTGGAGAGCACAGGGAGGCTGGATGCAGGTAAGGAGAAGAATGGTTTGTAAAATTAATATATTGCATTTTGTTAAATTAACAGATTCTCTTTTGTAAATATTTTTAAAGACAGTGGAATTGCTATACATATATGCCATGTTTTTGTTACAATTGGTTGTTTTTATTATTATGATATAATGTAATAGTGACATAGTTTAATATTATGAAATTTACCCTAGCCATGCTATTTCAGTCCCTTATATTAATAAGAATGCATGTCTCTAGTAAATCATGTTTTCATTAAACATTTTCACTCCTGTCAGTCCAACATTGGAAGGCAGCTGGGGGTGTCTTAAAGTTTCTACGGAGCGCTAAAGGGCAGAGCAGCCGGGACTCCAGCCCCAGTAGAAAGAAGGACTTGGAGGCCTCGGTCAAGTTTACCCCTGGCGAAAGTGAATCTAGTTATGAAGCAAGCACCTACTGTAAGTGAAGCTGATCTTTTCTTTTGTTTTTTCTTGTCCTGGAAGAGATTCTTAAAACATAATTATCAGCACTCATCTGCCATGGTTTAAATTGTGTTTTAAACTATGACAAATGTTAGAATGCTCAGCTACGGGAACATTCATTGTCTTTTTATCCCTTTACTATATGTTTTTATGCCTTTACTATCAGTTTTCATTATCACACTGTTCAGTAAATAGTAAAAGATATATAATATTTTTTAATTTTATTTTAGTTGAGGAAATAGATGGAAAAGAAGCCAAGACTCCTAAATACCACATAGAGCTCCGTAAGTGTATTGATTCATGTTAAGTTTTATGCATGTCTTTTGTCCAGATTCTTTAGTTTATCTCAGGGAACAAATGGGTAATAATCAGAAGAAGTGTTTATATGTCACTCTCTTATATTTGAATTTAGGCAACATTTTAATGCACAGTAAAGCCAGTCTCACATTATCTATGTTCTAGGTTTTCATTATTTTACTTCTATCAGTGCTATCACTGTTTTTCTGACATTTTCCGCTCTGTATTCTAAAAGTCTTATTCTATTCCAAAACAGAATATGCTGAGGGATCATCAAAGTTCTACTGTCAAGTTTACCATGCTGAGAGCTTCAAGCAGATGAGAAAAATTTTGTGTCCAGAGGGGGAAGCAGGGTAGGTACTCATTCTTGGTTCTCGTGGCTACTCTTCACATATCCAGTGATGTGCTGGGGTAGCTAACCAGTGGTGAAATATCAAATTAAAAGACATTTTTATATACCAGGTGAAAGGCACATTTGTAAGGTTTGATTCTTAATGAAATACAGTTATTGTGAAAGTGTGTTTTCTCTTAGGGTGTTGTAAAACATTATAAAACGTAATGGACAAACTGGATCTTTTTTTTTTTTTTTTTTTTGTCTGAAAACTATGATATCAATAGATTTAAAAGATTTGCTGAACTCGGATATCAAAACTTGGTCTTGAAAGTGGCAAGTTTATAATATGTGATACAGAAGCTGGCAGTTTTGCTAGTGATATTTTACAGAGAATTCCACTGTCAGCTCTTTGTTTGTATTTATCCAGGTACATCAGGTCTTTATCCAGGTGTATTAACTGGCTTGCCAAGGGAGGGAAATCTGGCTCTGCCTTCTGTAAAACTCAAGGTGAGCTGGTTCTTGTCTTATGTCTAATAAGAAATGTCAGGCTATCGGGTCTGAGTATAAAGCTACATTGCATCAAAATGTTCATTCTATAGTGATGTTCAGGAGAGAGAGAGTTCCATAAATGTCAACATAAAAAGAGCTGAGACAGATTTTTCCTGCAGTCATTATATATGATGTCTTTACTTCTATTAAAAAGGCTTGTAATGCCAGAAAACTGCTATTGAATCAGTGTTGTGATATTGTACACCATGGCCACAAGGAGCAACATTGATTTAAGTTTTTATAATTTGTGCGATTTAAAATATTTTTTATTCCGATAACTGCTACAGTTTTATTCAAATGATCACTGTATTTTTATTCAAATGACCACTATATCCTTATTCAGATGACCTCTGTAATATTTTTTATTCAGATGACTGATATATGCTTTATTTAGATGACTGCTATATTTTTATTCAGATGACCGCTACATTTTGAAGCAGATGTCCAAGCCAGAGGTGCAGTCTTTTCTAGAGTTTGCCCCACACTATATTGAGTACACATTGAAATCTCATACTGATAAGGTCAGTGGATTCTGTCAGAGATCTCTTACAACTCCTAACATATTATCTGTTGATGAAATGATTAAGAGAGCTTTCCAATATTTCCAGTCTCAAGGGACAATTCTTGTCAACATTAAAGAGAGTGATGTTCATTTGTTCTTTGCCTGTTGCATTAAAATGTGTTTCTTTCATTTAAGTTTTGATTTCCATAATTGTTTAAAGGTGTGGAGGCTAAATTGCCAGATCTGCACACTCAATTAATACATTTAGATTCTATTTCTGATACTTTAGCCTAAAATGACCCATGTCAGATTCACCTAAATTATTCATCCAGAACAGTGTCCAGACAAGTTTTTCAGATCTTATTGAAACTTTCATTTGTCCTGAATGAAAAACATCACCATATGTCACCAATCTGTTCTCACAGTTGATGAAGTTTATAATACATTTTTCACAGGTTTAAATTCAACATTTAAAAACAAAATGCACAAAAGGTTTAAAGGTTTAAATTCAACATTTAAAAACAAAATCCATGTTCCTTATGCAGTTCAGATCAATTTATTTTTGTCTATTTTTTATACAGAGTCCTACTGCTCTTGCCAAAATAGTAGGAGCATATAGGATTGGTTTCCGTAACAACCAAACCAACATGGCTACCAAGCAAGATCTTCTGGTGATGGAAAATTTATTCTATCCTCAAAGCAAGAAAATTACTCAGGTTTGTATTTATTGGATAGTTTCTTTTTATTGAGTTTTTGAAATTTATGCTGAAAACATCCTAGAGTTTGTGCATTTTAAATTATTAATTTATGAAAACCAAAAAAAAAAAAATTGTATCATATTATTACTTAATATACAGTTGTATTATTTTTTTATTATAATTTTAAAACCAAAATCGAAAAAAAGGAGTTCTGGTTATTTTACTTCTAGGTGTATGATTTAAAAGGTTCAGAGCGTAACCGTCTAGTAAAGACAGCCAATCAGAAGAGTGAGGATTTAGTGCTTTTAGATGAAAATTTGTTGAAAAGTAAGTTTCTAAGATTGAAGTATAGAGTCCCATATGGGCATTGTCTAAATTGCTGGGAGTTGTAATAAACATAAGAAAATAAAAAGAAACACTGTTTTTATTTGGACAATCTTATTGCTACCATAACAACCCATTTTTTTTTTCATAATGCTTACCAAATAAACTCTACCATTCCTTTGAAATAATTTTTTTTTTATTTTAAGTATTTACAGTATATTTATATGTAAGTATTTCAACTAAAACTTCATTTTTTTGTCAAAAGTGAGCCTAGACAATCCGTTATACCTGCGTCCTCACGCCAGGAAGGTGTTGATGTCCGCCATAACCAATGACACCCAGTTCCTGTCCAGCCATCTTGTCATGGACTACTCTTTACTGATGGGTGTAGATGAACAGAAGGGAGAGGTTCTTGTAGGAATCATTGGTAATTAAGTATAGGTTACGAAAATGATATTCATAAATTTTTTTTGTCGCCTATCTTGATATTCTTTTTCAACTCAAATCAGTTAATTAGAATCAGTGTTGATGAAAAATTGTTTATAAACAAACAGCATTGCATTATTCAGTGCTTTACTTTGAAATTATTAAGATTTATGCAGAATAAGTTTGATGTGGTGTTTCAGCAAGAAGCTTTTAGTTATATTGTACATATTGATGTATATTTTTAAAGAATTGTTCTACTGATATATTGTACATAGTTTTAATAAACTGTCCTCCAGACTACATCAGAACATTTACCTGGGACAAGAAGCTGGAGACCATGGTGAAGTCTTCAGGGATCCTGGGAGGACAAGGTGACCGTCAGAACACATGATTTCTCTTAGAGCACATTCAGAACAGTGGACTTAGAGTTCCACAGATCAAATATGGAGACCCACTAAAAAGCTTGTCGTTTAATTCAGGAGTAGACACTGAATAGATTTCTTGTGGGGATCCGGATTATGCAACAAGCATTCAAGTGACCCTGGGATCTGTTAGACCGCTGTTCTGAATGAGGCCTTACATAGGGACCAATCAGATTCTTGTTTTTAAATTTACTCGTATGATCACCAGCTTTACTGTGTTGATCTCAACACCAGGAGGAGGCTTGTTAGTCTGTTAATTTGATTGTATTCATGAGAGTCCCTGTATAGTCAGTGCAGTTAAGCAGGGTTGACATTACTTGTTCTTGAAAGGTCTTATTACAGTTGTATTGAACTAAGCTTTTGTGATAGAGAGGCACAATTTTAATTAGAATTAAAATAGTCTCTTTTTTTATGATGTGTCATAATATTAGCATACCATGATATTTTTAAATTGCTACATTTCCAAGAGCCTGACAGTTTTACAATATCAAGATATCAAGTGGTATAAATTACATATAATACAAAATAGAATGCCAAACAAATTTCTTAGTATTTCTCATGTATACTGATTATGTTTATGCTATCATTGTTCAGGGAAAATGCCAACAGTTGTGTCTCCAGAGCTGTACAGAACTCGTTTCTTGGAGGCAATGGACCGGTATTTCCTGGAGGCCCCTGATAGGTGGAATGGACTTAGTTGTGATCTGGAAATTTAAGATGGAGGAAGAGCAGCAATGCATGCTGGTCTAGTTTCATATAAATATTGGATTTAGCAGCAAGACAGGTTTATTCTTACATAAGGGGAAGGTTCAACCAAACATAGTTTACATAGGGGTGTGGGTTTACCCAAATGTGGTTCACATAGGGGTGTGGGTTTACCCAAATGTGGTTCACATAGGGGTCTGGGTTTACCCAAATGTGGTTCACATAGGGGATGAATGCACCTGTACATGGGGAGTGGGGTGGGGTGGAGGCAAGCTTCTTTATGAAGTTAAAACTGTGAAATTTTTTGTTGTTAAAACTGACCTGAAAACAGTCTACATGTTACTGTGTCATTATGAAATGTAGGTTGTATGCTTATGCAGTTATTATCATGTCTCCAGTTAGAGTTTCTTGAAATCAGATTATCTTTGTAAAGACAGAAAGAAGAATGATTGCATTTCCATGGTTATCAGAATTAAAGTAGATATTTTGGTGTGCCAGTGTAGTAGGTATACCCTTAATTTTGGCCAACTAAGCTATTTGCATTGTTCAAGTTTGCCAAATTGCACTGTTAAGTATGCACCAAATCAACAATTAAATTAAATTTAAAAAATTGGAACTGGATGATCTCAAGGTATTAATTATTTAGAAGTTCATCTTACTTGAAGTACTGTAGCCTACCTCATTTGTGCTCCTACTTTTAGTAGTGCTTGTCAGTTTGTCACTGTGCCAGTGACCATTCAACATTCTAGAAGACATGAGAAATGTCAATTTGATTTTATAATTTTTTTTATTTATACATAATAGGTATAGGTAAATGGAACACATGCAAAGTTTCATTTTCTCTGTAACTTTTCCATGAATGTGCTATTGTAAAAGTAATCATACATTTACTTATCTTGTTAACATTATACAATGTTCTCATTACAGTACTTTCAGTCATTTAATTTTAAAGACATCCTGTAGTGTCTTTGTATATTGGCAACAGATGAGACTAAAACAGTTCATTTTCTTCATGGAACAATCGAGATTTTCTGAAATTTATTTCGTACAAATGTTATTCATTATCTGGTAAAGCATAAGTTGTGAATTAAAGAAATATCCACGTGGTCTGTGCTATAGTACTTTACTGTTGAATATAATTCATTGCAATGTTATTGGTGGTGCTATTTTATTATATATAGAGAGTAAAAACAATATTTGATGAAATTGTTGGTACCTTAAACCATTGTATGAAATAAAGGCAACACTTCAGAAGTGTGTTATGAAAAGAAAATAAATATTGATGTACAGACATCATGCATTTTTAGGTTGTTCACTGCATATGTCAGTGACTAAACATAAATAAAATGCTCTCCTACTTTCTCTTGTCTATTTCTTAATACCTAAGATGTATCCACCAGAAGGTGCTGGTAAAGGCTTCACCTGAGTTCATCAAGGTATGTTCCTTGTGGATGATCTTAGGTTAAGATCCTAATGTTTGACCGTCGCTACGTATAAATAAAATAAATTTCCAATAATGGATTCGCTTATATTTTCTACTATTGGATTATTGTGGATATTCATTCAAGTACCGTACTGTACTAAAGAAATGAAGAACGGGTGAAAATTTAATTTAGATTCTGGAAGCAGATCAAAAATTTTGAAAATGTTGTTTTGAAAACTTTGAGTCGGTTTGTACAATCAGTAAATTATAGCTGACTCCGAGGAGGATGGGTAGAACACTCTTGGAAAGGTCAAGGATAGGCCCTACAAACTCGAACAAAGATTTTTAAAAAAGTTAAAGAGGGACAAAGTATTTATGCTCGTGATTCATCTGTTGTAGATGATAAAAGATATTTGTTGGATATGATCGTGCAAGTCCTTGTGCTTGCTGTGAACGTGCAAGCAGCACAATCGACCCCCTTTTTAGGTGAACACTTTGTACTTTGCATTGACAGTTGTATAAATATGGATTTGAAGAATGTTGTATATGGATGAAAATGAAAAGTTTTACCAATTAACAGTATTGTTTTGAATGTCACACACACCAAGGAAGGATCGTCGACCTTCTTAAAGTTATAGAAGTTTTACCTGAGAAGCCCTAATTACGGACATAATTCAGTAAAGTGACCTATGACGAGGACCCTCCCATGTGAAGCAATGAAAAAATGAAATAATTAATTAAGCAATTTACATAAATATCAGCAATGCTTTAAGTAGTCGAGAAGCTGGAAGGTTATTTTTCTATTCCAATAGCTATATTCCTTTGCTATAACAAAAGAGCTGAAAATGAAAAGTCACAAAAAAGGTCCAGTTACAAATACTTTTGCACTTTTCTTTTACCACTTAATGCAAAAAGGCTGAGAAAATGCAAGAGGAAAAATAGACCACATTAACTTGTTCTTTCTTCACCATTATGCTTTTATCTGAAAGTGAAATGATGTGTGTCGAACACTGTGCCATGATGTGTTATGATGATCATTTCATTTTCATTTTACAGTATTAAATTTTGTACAAAATTACTCAGTTACGTGTCAAGGAGTCTAAAAATTATCTACCTCCTGTCACTCAATTTCTGCTTTGCACTTTCTTTCTAGACGCCTCTCTGTAACGTTTTGGTCCCTTTTCATTAAGTTATTTAGAATATTTGGAGAAGCAACTCTTCTTGAGTTATTGCAAATCACTTCAGCCCTGTATTGTACTGTGTTGCTTTAACAAGAGATAAGCTCAACCAAATTTGTTTTAAGCTTTCTGGAAAATTTTTCGAAAGTCTCACTTTCTAACATCTTTACATGAAACAAAAAGCAAGATTTTACCGGTTTGGTGGATTTTATTTGTATAAACAGGATTTCATTGAAACAACAACACACTAACTTTGCAAAGTATATGTATTCATCACTACAGTGCAAATAAATTTTAACGCGTAAAGTTACATTCCTTTCAAAACATCAAGGGAATAAAATAAAGAATATAATCTACTAGAAACCAGAAAATCTTTAACTGTATTAAGCACTCAAAATTACTACAAACGATTCTTCAAACAATAGCTTAAAGTCAGTATTTTAGTGTGTTACAAGACACCATTATTGTAATAGCCTCTACGTAGAAGTGCAGTGCAGTTAGCCCATCCCAACCCTACCCTCACCCCTCAACAAGTGACCGGGTGGGTGATAGCGATATTTTGAAATGGTTATAATTCCTTTTATTTCTGCAAATTTTCACTAAATCTATAAATGTGCCCAGGACCCCGTAATCCGTAGTTGACTAGGCTGGGCTAAGTGAACTAGCTAGCGAGGAACCCGACTTAAGCGTTTTTTTTAAACGGGAACCTGAATATCCGGAGAAGTATCTGTGAATATCTAATTATTCGCTCTGTGATCCTTGAAGAGAGCCCCCCAACCCGCCTCTCTCGCTATGTTTCTCCGTTTTGTCCGCTGTTTTTAAAAATAAGGATGGTGATGGATTTTCAGCTGCTGTTTGAAGAAGTTATAATTATTCGCCTGGAAAGTATCATATTCTTATATTAGCGTTGTATTACTTTTACGTTGCCAATGTGCCACTTTAAGTTTACCAAAACAATAAGAAGTGTAAAAATGAATGAAACAATGTCATTTAAAACGGAAATATTAGAAAAATACATTTCTGTTCTACATCATTATACATCATATTTATTGCCTAATTTAATTATATGTGTCTGAAAAACGTGTTATCATATCTATTTTTTATTTGGACAACAGACTAGACAGCGTATCTTGTGTGGAAAGGAATATCAAAGGGCCATTATAAGCCCTATTGAAACAGCCGGCGATTGAAAGCAGGAGTTTATCTGAAATGTAAACAGAGATAAACCTAAACATGCAGCATATTCTTCTTCCTTGTTGATAAGTTTAACACACCATCCAATCACGAAACAGTTCCTCAGTAATATCAGAGAGTGAGATGAGGTATGCCTACTTTTTACCAAGAACTGAAGGCAGCGGACTGGAAATATTAAAAATCAACAGGTTATAATTAAGCTTGTGCTATCGTTTTTAACAAATAGTTCAGATAAGCTGGAACAGATAATTTAATTTCATCAAGTATGCCCGTTTGAGTTGATGATAAAATTTTTATCTTCTCTCTCTATAACCAGAATTTGAAATAGGCCCTACTAACACAAATCGGTGTAGGAGACCGTCTTTCTCCCTTCAGGGTTCTGTCTCAAGCGCCGCTGTCACTGAGGCATGTGAGAGGAAATATGATAACAAAGCCTGTTATCTTCCTCAATATAAAAGGTGAAAATACCATCCACAATGCTTTAGATAGTTTTGATAATTATTTATCACTTTAGAACAAATCAAAACGGTCATCTTGGATTCTGTCCGTTTCCATGGTTACGTTAGTTGTTGCCGTTTCAACATCATATCTACCTTTGACCATTAGGCTCTGAGCTTTCAAATGTCGTTTAATTTTAGTCTGTATATTGAGGACCACAAACTACCTCCTAATTAAAGCACTTTTTCAGGATTTGTCGCTCACATCATGAAAATTACGTAAATATAATTATCAATTAGCATCAAAATGGCGATCTAAGGTCCGCTTTGATTGGAATAAAATTTTATGGATCTTTCGTTTCGTCGATCGTTTGACCCCCCCCCCCCCCACTCCCAAAAAGAAAAATTGATCCTTAAAGACAACTAAGGAAGGATGGTACTATAATTTCTTACTGAAGATTTTTTAAAAAGGTATTCTTGTCTGATTTTTCCCCTGTTCTTCGAGTTTGATTACAGACGACGAAGGTTAATTTAAATAAAACGTAGGGGAGACCGGGGCTAGTTGGACCCCGGGGTAAGTTGCCCCCCCCCCCCCCCCCTCAAGTCTCTTTAATAAAGTTACTTTAAGATGCTAAAT